CCCCCCCCCCCCCCCCCCCCCCCCCCCCCCCCCCCAAGAACACAAGAATAGCAACAAAACTAAAAAAATACATTGGCTCACGTGCGCTCCAACTCCACACACAATTTGCTTACAATGGATGTGCTAAACCCCCAACTCCAACACAATTTGCTTACAATGGATGTGCTAAACCACACCCAACAGGGATGGAGGCGAGGGCCCTGACCAAACTATTCTATTTTCCCACCAAGGGTAAAATGGCCAGAATGGCTATTCAATTTCTTTGCACATTGGGCTTTGAAAGCATACATTGGACTAGTGAACTTATTTTACCCTCTGTATTTTTGACTGAATGAAAACTAACATGAAGGCATTTCAAGAGTTGGTTTGGTAATTAGGCAGCAAATTAAAAAAAGTATAAATCTCTTAACTAAAGAGATAATTGAAATAAATTAGAATATTCATATAAAACATGTCAAGATAGAGGAAATATATAAAATGGACTTTTTAAAGTTACTTAAATTGAATTTGATTGACATTATGTACGTAAATTAAATTTTAAGAATTTTAGACAATTCATCTTGGGATGAGTCACCATTGAAATAGCTGCTTTAAGTTAAACAAAATTTTTTTTTAAATCAAGAACAAGCTGCTTTTTTCCTCATTAGATAGAAGCTAAATTGGGTCATGGAGTTGATTGCCTGCTAAAAAAATCATAAAATCTGTCAGTAAAAAGTGAAAAATGAGAACTTCCTGGTAAACTTTGAGTAAAGCTGTCAACATTGTATTTCTACTGTGAGCCTGAATGTCTGCAATCGTGTCTGTTTTAATGTCAGTAAATAAAAAAAAATTCGGTGAAAATGAGGATTCTATGTAGGGGTCTTGCCTTGCTCTAAACGACCACTGAGGACAAAGAATAAGGAACTGGTACTATCCCTAGTGGAAAAGTTATCTTTCCACTTGAAAGGGACACAATACATAAGAATGTCCACAGTCATGGATTTGGCAACCCAGTTGGATAGTCCGCTTTATTGATTAACAGATAGTCAGATTCTTATAACAACTCCTGTTTTTTTTTAAAGGGAGAGAGTACCTCCTATGCATTTTTATATTCTACTATATATTTTAAAAGTTCAGGTAGACTCCAAGCAGATAAAGTAGACTTTTGTTTGTTTACAGGTAGCCCTCCTTTGTTACTACTGCCTGACAACGTTCGAATTCGAAAATACAATCTCTCATCTGAGAAGTTCTCAGATTATCTTAAAGACCAGGAACATATCCAAGCCATTGATTATGATTGGGATCCCGAGGGCACAGGCCTCAGTGAGTATGAACTTTGGCATCTGTCATTGACTGACCTTATTCCATTTTAAGGTATTGGATCTTGGGGAATTTATTTTTTAATGAGTGGATTTTGTTGCATGAGTGGAAGAGGAAGCGCATACTCTCCAGCCGACCTTTCCTGACTTCTCTCTAAACCTCTCCCATTGCTGGGGATTATCCTTTGGGGGCCTCCTCACATCCCTGTGTATTGTACTATCTCCTTGTCTTTGCTCATGTAAACCCTGTCCTTCCCTACCATTGTGGACTTGGAAAATTTCTACTCAGACCTCAAAGACTTAGTTCAAATGTCACCTCCTCTGTGACGTCTTTTGTAATTCTTCCTCCTGGCAGAGTTCCATGGTTGCTCATCCATGAACCTGGAGCATTTTATTCATGCTTCTACTCTTGTACATGTTACTTTGAGTTATATAGCTAGCTGCCCACATATTTTTCTCCCCCCTAACCATGTGCTCTTTGGAAACAGAGGTCAAATCTAATTCATCTCTACATGCCTAGCACCTGACCCAACATCTTGCACAGTATATGTGGCAGGTGTGAAAAAAATTTAGTTGGATGAAGGAAAAAACGAATAATGCCTATGGTTGAGTTTCTCATGGCTCTAGATGGTGTGAGTGAAGTGATAGTATGATTGGAGTCAGCAAATTTATCTACTATACCTGTAAATGTGTCTTTATTACCTGTCTCTCTTATCTACTAGCTTTCTGACTTTAAATAATTGTAACAGTTCTCTGGATCTTTTTACTTGTGAAATAAAAATAATATTCTTGTTCTGCCTGCCTACCTCTGAGAGTTGTTTTGAAGATCAGATGAGATAGTAGATGTGAAATACTTTGCAAACTATCGATAATTATGCCAATGTAAGATTTATTATTGTTATATATTCATATTTATTCGTATAATAAGATAAGCTTTTCAAGAATGGTGTAAACCTGGGAAAATAGAAGTTGCCAAGTATATGCCTTAGAAGTCACAGTCTTCTTATACTTAAAAAAAGGCCTGCTGTCCACCTCCTGTAGTCTGTACATAAAATAAAGCTTTTCATTTACATGGCTCCTTTATTGCGACTGATAATTGAGTATGATTTCAAATTCTCAACAGCCTTCCCTGGTTTATCTACACATTCTGCTTTGGAAACTAGAACTTGATCCTAATGAGAGTAAATAGGTTCTTGGCCAAAATGTATTTTAATGAATTACCTTTAAATAGATAACTAAGTAAATACCACTAAGTTATCAATTGAAGCATTCGTAGCTAATTAGCTCAAGTATGATAGGTTTTGAGGTTTGATCATACTAAGGTAATTGAATTATTAGTATTATAAGGACAATGAGGAGGTAGAGATGTTAATAAATGAACAGTACTTTCCCTGATTAGACCCCAGCTCCACCCTTCATGATGTTCTTAACATGAAACTGATCTGTATGTCTTCTCTTAGGTGTTGTATATTACACTGTGTTAGGGCAGGCTCCTAAATTTGGTGCTATCAAACGTGCCTACATTCCCAACTTCGAATCTGACAGTAATAATATCGTGGAAGAACTTGACCTGGGCCTGAAATATGTAATGCAGCCAGAAGGTTTAGCAGTGGACTGGGTTGGAAGGTAAATTTGCCACACATTCCCCTCTTGACTATTCTGTTTTCCTGGCTAAGAGCTCTCTACTGTTCATAATGGTAATTGGGTTAAGTTGGGGCCAGATATGGGTACACTCAGCCACGGGTGTGGCTGGGCAGTGCCTGGGCTTGCTATAGCCCCAGCAACCACCTCTGCTTACCCCAGTGTGTCATATAAACATTATCATTTCCTGTGTGTTATGTGTGCCATGAAAAGGTTTGGAAAAGCACCCAGGTGAAGATTTCGTATTATATCTGGGAAGGCATTCTTGCCAACAGAGTTCTGGATTCCAAAATTAACTTTTAGCCTGGTAGCATTGTTAATTTTGTGAAGAAATGTGACAGCCTCACAATTCTCCCAGCAAAACAGTTGAGACAAAACATTTTTCTCTATGGTAATTTTTTATGGAGGAACAGTCCACATCTGTGTTTTTTAGCAGCCTATATAGTCAGAACAGACTGGAAATTTGATTTTCCTACTTACTCTTTCAGTTCAAGTTAATAGAGGTGTCGGCTCTGTTCTGTTCTTTTAGACCTTCTATTACCCCAGGGGCCAGTGCCACGCTTGGGATGATCCCTAAGTAAGAACCTTAAGTAGAGTCATCAGCAGGTAGATGCATGAGGTGCAAACTGATGTGGAAAAGTTATTAAGCTCCTTCTTCAAGGACGAAGTTTGCACTGGAGTAATTTTTATGGGAAAGTCAGAATTCGAACATTCATAGAATCTCCCATGTCCTTGAAAATAAACTAATAATGGAAAATGTTTGAAGGGAAGGTTCAGGGGCTCACTGTCCTGGAGAATGGAGTCATTTTCACTGTAATAAAGCATTTTCACCTTTTAACAAACTTGTTTGGTATTTCTGGAAGACTTGAGCGTCTCTGAAGAAGTTGATTGGGTCCCCACTGTGCCTGCGGGCTGACAGGGCCTCAGAGGACTGTCACTGGAGTCAGGGACTTGAAACTCTTCTGAACACTTCCTTCTAAAAACCAGCTAGACAATGGCAGATCTGTCTTCTTCTTTGAAGTTTTACCTCTTTCTCAGCCTTAATGAATGAGGGAATTGAGGAACTGATGGAGCTTGTTCTGCATGGAAGACTGAGACCTGCACCCTAAGAAGCGGAAAGAAGGGCAGGATGGTCTTGCTGAGTTTATTTTGAAAGGCTATTTCCACTCTGGAGCTGATGCTCAGTTTGTTGATTCCAGTGGGGCTCTTTGCTGAGGAGGAAAGAGACTCGTGAACAGTCAGAATTAAAGGCCAGCAATGCCTTACAACTTCCACCTAGAAGCACGTTGCTCACAGTACTGCCAGATGCGAGGCCAGTCTGACTGCTGTGTCTGCCATCATTCCTGATCCTGGCTGATTAGCTGTTTTGGCTGATCAGGCAGGAGTCCCCTCCATCCTTCACTCTTCCACTTGTAACCTTACAAAGATGTCCCTGTGGCTGAGGAGAGAAGGGCGTTGCTGAGAGAGAGGGACTGTATCCAGTTATGGGTATCTGAATAGCTGTCTTGCTGGCCAGAACTTTCAAATGAAATGCTCTGGTCTTCAAACCTCTCCCCCAGAAATGGTGACTGTAGACTTTTCTGTTGTCTTGTCCTTCTGAATTCAGGCATATTTACTGGTCAGATGCCAGTAGTCAACGGATCGAGGTGGCTGAACTTGATGGAAGGTACAGAAAGTGGCTGATAACCACCCAAGTGGATCGACCTGGGGCAGTTGCGGTGAATCCCAAACTGGGGTAAGTACTTGAAGGAGTATGTGAAGTTCTAGATATTTTCTGCTGGATTCTCATAAAATTATGTCTTTAATGATTTTTTTCCTAATTATACTGAAACTGTCCTATTTTTCTGGAATGGCATCTTCGACTGTTTCAAGAATTGTGATATGCCCTAGACATCACTTAAGACAAGAATCTTTCTGCTTACATGGATTTCTTGCCAAATTAGAGCTCTGAACTTTAAAGTTCATTGTGGATTTCACTTTATGCTTTAAGTGAAAGTTTCATCAGAATTGTTTTTCCTTTTGGGCCGGCCCAGTGGCGCACTGCTGCAGTGCGCCGTTTGGGAGCGTGGCGGCGCTCCTGCCGAGGGTTCGGATCCCACATGCGGACCGGCCGCTCACTGGCTGAGCGAGGTGCGGGAGCAGCACCGAGGGTTGCGATCCATTGCCGGTCACGAAAAAAGACAAAAAAGGAAAAAAAAAAAGAATTGTTTTTCCTTTCATTTGGATGTTTTAAAGTAACTCATTCACTGGAAATCGACTGGAGATTTAGTCATGTTTCATTGGAAATTGTTAAACATTTAAATCCAAAATATGCAAATATTTAAAATAACACATGTATAAGTATATTTATCCATTTGTAGAAATGTTCTGATTTGTGGTTTCTCAGCATAAATGAGAACTGGTTTTGTCATTTTTCTCTGCATTTCAAGGCATTTATGTGGGTAATCGCTAGTCTAAAATGATATTTTATGCATTACTTTAGCCTCAGAATAGTGACACTTAAAAGAACTCTTTTTTTTGGATAGCCCTCAGTACTTCCTGTATTTGGGCAGGACCAGTATGGCTCTTTGTGGATCTGCCAGTATTTGTATATAGAACACTATGAGCTGTTGTTACTTTGTTTCTGTTATATTTCATATTTAAATCATGCCCTCAGAAACTCACCAATGACACTTGAAAAATGCTTGTTTGATGATATTAACCTATAATGTGGACTTGTCCTAAACACCATTCATAGCTTCTCGAATCTTCCCTGTGCAATCTCTCGGGAGCAAGGAGACACAGTGAGCACCATGGTGTATGTGATGTGACTGCTTCCTTTGTGCTGTTTAATTTCTTCCTCTATTATTACTGTTTATGCCCATCTTGATATTATGATCACATTCTCATATCCCTCCACTGTTTTTTCATAGAAGATCCTCTTTTTATTCTTTCTAATTTTTTTTTCTCTCTGGAATGGCTCAGCGTAGTTGTGGGAGGGAGAGCAAGTAAGAAAGGAGAGAGAAGAAGGGTTTAATTGCTTCAGGCCTCAAGACCTGCCCTCCGACCTCCTCATTCCATGGTCCGTCCGTTTCAGAGGCTAGCCCTCTCTAGGTCTTAGAAAGCACTTGTGAGATGTGAAGCCTTCTTACTTTACTATGACATAAGATGTGTCTCTGTGTCTGAAGGATAGCAATGATGATGACCAATAATAAGAGCACAACAGCAATAAAAAGAGCCTCCAGTTACTACATTCTTACTGTGTGTCAGCCACGGTGCTAAGTGTTCTACATGTCTAAACTCATGGAAATCATATGAAAGACCTATAAATTAGCTATACCTTTCTATCCCCTATTTACATATGAGGATAAAATAATATGTTCCTTTATTCAGCAATGGTTGGCAACAGTATAAGGGAGAAAAGGAGAACTGTCATGAGGAAACTATTGATAACTACGTGACAGTTCTTCCACCTTGCATGGGTTCCAGGGCAACTGTCTGCAGGAAGTTGCATTTGAATGGAACTTTGAAGATTGGGATCCACTGGGGCTGTAGTAGGTGATAAAGTACATGATGCGGAGAGACAGTGTGGGTGAGGGACCAATTCCTGGGGAGAGTGGCACTAACATAGGACCTGGAAGGATGTTGTGGATACAGACAGGCAAAGGGGGAGGCAGGCTGTTCATAAACTCAGTAACAGCATGAACAAAGGCAGGAAGGGAAGCAATCATTCTGTGTACTTTTTTTTTTTTCCTTTTTGTCTTTTTTTGTGTCCGGCAACGGATCGCAACCCTCAGTGTCGCGCCCGTATCGGACCGGGACCGGCAACGGGATCGCAACCCTCGGTGCTGTGCCCGTTTCCTTTTTGTCTTTTTTTGTGTCCGGCAACGGATCGCAACCCTCAGTGTCGCGCCCGTATCGGACCGGGACCGGCAACGGGATCGCAACCCTCGGTGCTGTGCCCGCACCTCACTCAGCCAGTGAGCGGGAACCGGTCTGTATGTGGGATTCGAACCCTCGGCGGGAGCGCCGCTGCACTCCCAAGTGGCGCACTGTAGCAGTGCGTCACCGGGCTTGGCCCCCCCCCCTTTTTTTTTTTTTTTTTTTGAGTTTTGAGTATTTGTTACCTTTTTAAGAAACAGCTTTACTAAAATACAATTCACATACCGTACAATTTACCCATTGAAAGTGTACATCATTCAGTGGCTTTTAGTATATTCACAGAGTTGTGTATCTATCACCACAATCAAATTTAGAACATCTTCTTCACCCTAAAAAGAACCCCTGCATCTTTACCCTAAGAAGAAACCCTGGACCCCTTAGCCATCATCTCCCAACCCCCCATCTCTCCCCTTCTGTAGCCCAAAGTAACCACAAACCTGCTCTCCATCCCTATAGATTTGCCTATTCTGTACATTTCCTACAAATGGAACCATACGGAATGACTTGTGACTGGCTTCTGTCATATGTCTACTATCATTTTTAGTAAAAACAAAACAAGGTTGTATTTGTCAGTTGTTGAGACTTTGGGACAGGCCTCAGACCAACACTGTGTAAAGGGAAAGGCCTCTGGGCCACAGTTTTTCTAGAGCTCAGTTTGTCTAAAATCCACACATTCCTCAACAGAGTGTAAGGACTGGTCTACACCTGATGACTTATTTAGACTAGAGACTGCAAAGTGGTGGCTGGTGGGCAGGTATGGCCCATAGACATATTCAGCTTGGATCACACAGAGCTGTAAGGTTTTTTCTACTTAGTTGCTAACATTTTAAATTTTTTAAAAAGAGAAAAATCTGTATTTCTGGCTTGGACAATCAGAACTGGGAACAGTGAGTAGGTCTGCCTTCTGGTGCGGCATTGGCTTAAGCTTGCAGGGCCTGGCTCTCCCCATCTCTCCACATTCATAACTGGTCTGTTCCCCTCAGTTGTCCTACCGCCTCGTCCTTTCTAGGTATGTGAAGTGGTGCAATCCCTGGTCTAGGTAATTATTCAGTGTCAATTCACCTTTGCTTGCACAGACTTTCTCTACAATTAATTATTAATCGGGTACAAAATATACATTTAAAAAGAGTTTGAAATAGCTTCATGAGACTAGAAATCTTTGTTTTGTTCTCTGTTACATCCCAAACACAGAGCAGTGCCTCTTACACAGTAGGCATTCAATGATATTTCTTGAAGAATGAACAGCTTTTGTATGATGTATTTTAAAGGGTTTATCCTTTAGACCCTTTAATGTCTGTATATCCTTCAGAAAGGACCAGCCAATTTCCATTAAGGAAGTGCAGTTTTCAGGAAGGACAGACCATACATGCTCTTGCTCCCCTTTTTTGTTCCTCGTCTTCTGTAAAGTATTAAAAACAGTCGCTTAACACCCAGCTCTCTGCAAAAGACACTTGATTTACCCTGTTGGTAATGCTCCATGCTCTGCTGTAGTGGAGAAGTCCCAGTAGGTGAAATGCTACAAAGAAGAAACCTTCTGTTGCAGGCTTATGTTCTGGACTAACTGGGGAGAAGAACCTAGGATTGAGTCTGCCTGGATGAATGGGGAGCATCGCCAAGTCCTGGTTTCCGAGAACCTTGGTTGGCCAGTTGGCCTTTCTGTTGATTATTTGAACAATGACCGGATCTACTGGAGTGACTTCAAGGAGGATGTTATTGAAACCATAAAATATGATGGGACTGATAGAAGACTCGTTGTATATGAAGGTTAGAAACGAGTTAAAATTTAATATATTAAATTATTAATTAATATATTCCTAGTCACTTTGCCGATTTTCTCAAGAAGGAACCCTGATCTTAGAAAATAGGTCACATAGTTTCTTAGATACACCCCCTCCACCTCCCAGCTGCTGAATTGAATGCAAATGAATCTATTAACAATAAATAAGTCCTTTTTGTCCTTTTTACAAATTGAAAAAAAAAATGCTTCTCAGTAGCAGATATTGAAATAACTGAGATGCCTGTTAGATTGCCTTGATAGAGGTGGAGCTCATGTGTACAGATGTTAATCCATGTCTGACTGCTTCTAGGCACGTGTGTTTTCAATGTGCTAGATTACTCATTATGCACAAAAGGAAACATCTAGATGGAAACATCTAGAAGGAGAGGAGTGTTTTGTTTTCTTATCCAGACTCTGCAGAACTGCAGCGATCCAACACATACCACATTTTTCCTATCTGACCAGTGATATTTTATGTTCAAAAGAAAAAAATAAAATCCTTGCTATACAAATTGTTTTCCAGAAGTGGTATAAAACCATCAAGGGGCTGGGGTATTTTCTTCTCAATAACCTTGTTTTGATTTTCCGTTGTGGCTAAGCAGCAATGAACCCTTACAGTCTGGACATCTTTGAAAACCAGTTATACTGGGTATCTAAGGAGAAAGGAGAAGTATGGAAACAAGATAAGTTTGGGAAAGGAGAGAAAGAGAAACAGCTGGTAGTAAACCCTTGGCTCACTCAAGTTCGAGTCTTTCATCAACTCAGATACAATCATTCAGGTAATCACCAGCTTTGGAATAAGATGCTTCTCATTATCTGGAAACCTTATTTCAAAATAATGGCTATATTATTGGAAAATAGTAGTGGATATCTTGGTTGGGATATTCCTTCTCCTGTCAGGACCTAACTGCTGTTGTCATCTGCTTTCTAGTGCCCAACCCGTGTAAACTGGTCTGCAGCCACCTGTGCCTGCTGAGACCTGGAGGATACAGCTGTGCCTGTCCCCAAGGCTCCAGCTTTATACAGGGGAGCACCACTGAGTGTGATGCAGGTAGGGGTCTGGGGAGTTCCTCTGCCACTGCAGGAGCCTGAAGGGTCCCTGTGCACTGGGTCCACAGCAGAGTAGAGTGGGGACAGCCCTAAGGAGGTATGAGAGATTTGGGAAACATGGACAGAGCTGAGTAGGACTCAAGGGGCCAAACAGAACTCATCTTCCAGTGATTTCTGAGGATCCTTTGCTAAGCTCTGCAGAGATATAGATCCAGTACCTCTAAATCTGCTGTTGTGTTGTTTTGTAAAGACGTTTTGGAGAGTGGGTTTTCTGTAGGGCCTCTTCCTCATTCCTGCACCCCATACTGGATTCCTACGCCCTAGAATCTACTCAGCCTTAAACAAGTACCTCAGGATGGAGAACCATGAAGTGCAGAGCTTTGTCAACTGAAAAAGAGGCACATTTTGAAAGGTGACTTGTGTTGCTAAGAGATGAAGGCTAGAATAAGGAAGCAATGTTTTAATTATCGCCCAAAATGGTACAGATGATTTATTTTTGGCAAGACCTTTTTCAATGACTCTTTTAAATTAAGGACTTAATAAGTCATGGGGAATAACCAGTGTCCCTAACTAGTATCCCATGTTTAATTAAGCACCTTAAAAAATCATCCTGCGTTCACTTGCAGCCCATTTTATGGCTTGCATCCTTGGGTCTTGCCCCATTTTAGCTAATGGGGAAATGAAGAGGCTTAATCATCTTCTACCACTAGAGGGAGCAAGTGGTGAGACAAGGAACCACCCTTTGCTTCTCCCAGCTACTGAAAAGTTGGCAGGTGTAGAGAATGAACTCTGAGAGAAAAAAACTGCTTTGCTTCTCCTCTCTCTCCGTGTCCCCATCCTCATCCCAGTACTACGGGGGAAGTATTGGCAAGATTCCAATATTTTTAACCAAATGATAATTTCAAGCTTCTGGGATTTGTTCTATGCTGCAGTTGGATCGTTCTGACACTCACTGCAGTTTCACACTATAGGAGAGGTTTTGCCCAAGTTGTCACCTCATCTGCTACTTTCCTTGTTTAAATTTTTTGTCAAGTGGATTGTATTAAGATTTTGTTTAAAGAACTTGAAACAGAGTAAGCACATTATGATGGTAGTCCTTCCATATAGGGCCTTGGTTTGGCATATCAATGAATTAATATAATAAGATTTATTGAGTGCCTACTATGTACCAGGTGCTGTTTAAGTGCTGGAGATAACAGAAGTGAACAAAACAGACAAATCCCCTACTCTCATAGAGCTTATAAATAGAACAATAAATAATAGAACAATAAATAGAGAAACCAATATAATAATAACAATAATATACTTAGTAGCAGTAGTAGTAATATAATAGGTCAGGTGGCAGAAGTACTATGGAGAAAACTAAAGCAGGGGAGGAAGAATGAAGGTGGGGGGAGTGGGGTTGCTCTTTTAGACAAAGTGTTCAGGGAAGGCCTCTGATAAAGTGGATTTTGAGAAGGGACTCAGATTGAAGGACTGAGCTGGAAGGGTATCCAAACTCCTTAAATAAAATACACATGTGACAAATACTTATTGAAGCACCGATCAGGCACATTCAGGAAGTGTGTGGGGGCTGGGCTGGGAGCAGGGACCCAGGGTAAGGGTGGTTTTGGAGGACCTAAAAAATGAGATCTCTAGCTGGCTGTCTATCAAGTATCTGTGTATCTGTATCTGTGTGACTATTGACTGATCCAAAACTGATTCTTTGGAGCCTTTAGTTGAAGTTTCAAGGTGTGCCTAAATTAAACTCTTGATTTAACTGGGTTCATAATGGAGAATTCTGAAAACTTGAAAGAGAACATTAAATGTCTTAAGAGATTCTTTTACCACAAGGTTCTTCTAACTATTAATATATGCTCTCCAGTCTAGCACCTCTCCACTGTTCTGGGGGGAAATGCTATAAACTGCCCCTTTCACTAAAGGTATGTTACTATCCAAGGCCATATGATTGATAAAGAAGTGCATTTGACTTAGGGGGAAGGCCATGTTTTGACAGGGAGATGAATTAGCAGGCCCGCCCCGGGTAGGTTTGCAGGTATGGGCATTCTGCTGAGTATGGCTGACTAATCATGCATGGCTTTCCCTTTCTGCAGCCATCGAAACTCCTATTGCCATGCCCCTCCCATGCAGGTGTATGAACGGAGGAAATTGCTATTTTGATGAGAATGACCTCCCAAAATGCAAGTAAGTCTCAATGTTGAGGTCCAGATGTAGGTCTTGCCTGTTCTGGGGGAATTTGAGACCTTAGAGTAGCCAGGAAAACAAATACAGGAACCTTGCCAGTTCACAAATGTTCACATTTTAACCAGATTGCCATTCCCTTGGGGGAATCCACAGAGAGTCAAGGCAGTGTTTCTCAAACTGTAATGTGCACAAGAATCACCTGGGGATCTGGTTAAAATGTCCATAATCATTCATAGGGATTCTGTATTTCTGAGAAGCTCCTGGGTGATGTTACAGAGTCGTGGACCACACTTTGGGGAGCAAGGAGTCAGAGAAATGCCAACAGCATTTTCCTACAAACCTGGGATTAGTAATACAGCAGGATTGTGGAAGAACAGCTGTCAGCAGGGCTGCTTCAGTACAAGGCACCCATGACGAGCAGAAAGACTGGGCTTAAGATTTGGAAAGAAGAAGACTATTGAGAATGCTCTAATACGGAGCAAGATAAATAGATGTCTTTAAAAAGTATTTCATGAAAACATATCAAAAGAAAGAATACAGCCATGGTTTCCATTTTTACCCTCTAAGGAAGAATTGTGTAGATGAGAGAAGATACTGATAGGTTTATTTGATCGGGCTGCTCCCGTAGGTGCCACGGCTACTCCATTGAAGCTGAATTTCTAAAGTCAGATCACTATTCTTTCTGCTCATCATCTCTTGGGGGAGAATAAGCAAAAGTCACGCAGCATACATTGTCTGTTTGACATGTAATTTACTCAGTCAGAACTCTCTCTGCCTTAGAAAGTGCTTATAAATTGCAGTAGAGCCTAACTAAGAAGGCAATAGCTAGTGAGTGATTCTCCTTTTACTTTCAGGTGTTCCAGTGACTACACCGGAAAATATTGTGAAGTAGGGTTTTCAAAAGGAATTCCTTCAGGAACAAGTAAGTTTTGAGAATATGAGCAACCTGGAAGTACCTGTGGCCACTAAATTGAGTGCTGTCTTATATAAGCTATTTAACCCAGTCTTTGAGGAATGAAGGGTGCGAGCCCCCGGCTTCTGCTGCGTTTGCTGGCTCCTTTCTTTCTCCATGTGTTGATATGTTTGCTGCTGCTCCTCTCCTTTATAGCAGCAGTGGCCGCACTATTGACAATCCTCTTGATCATCATAATTGGAGCTCTGGCAACTGGAGGATTTTTCCACTACAGGAAAACCGGCTCCCTTTTGCCTGCCCTGCCCAAGCTGCCAAGGTCAGTTTCTTTACGTGGAATATTTTAGAAGCCTGTGTAATGTGACCATGTGAATATCTTAGTTTTTTTTTTTTTTTCAAGTTAAAAAAGTACAATACACAGTTCACCTATTCTGGAGAAACAAAAAGTAGTGAGGATTTAAAGCAGTCACTTCACAGCACAGCTTCTTTACTGAGTGCTTCTCTGAAGCTTGCGTGACAAATCAGGCTTTATAGTCCAGAGGGTTGTGCCTACTGGTGGCTATTCAGGTCAAACTGGAGTACAGAGCGGTTGTGTGATGAACCAGGTATTAATCCTGCAAGTGCCTAACTGGTCCTCTCTTAGATCTCAAGCATTCAGGAATGTGCTTTAAGGTTTCTAGGTAGCTAAGAAAACTTACTACTACTAAACTTGCTACTGCCATATTTAACATGTGTAAATTCAGAGTGGGAATTGAGCATTTCATTTGAATAAGATTTAGCAATGTGGAGGAAAGAGTACTATTGCAAAGGACTAATATGACACTGTTTTGGTTACTTCCATCCAGCTTAAGCAGTCTTATCAAGCCTCCTGCGAATGAAAATGGGGTGACCTTCAGATCAGGGGTAGATGTTAACATGGATATTGGAGTATCTGGTTTTGGGCCTGAGTCTGCTATTGACAGATCAGTGGTGATGGTGAGTGTGATTTCAAAGTGGTTATTTGAAGGTTGTCCTTTTTACCATTTTATAAAAGGAGCACTTTTTATAAAGAATAAAATTAACCTAGAGAATACTGAAGTACAGTGTGCCTCTCAGAATAAAGTCTGCAGTACATAGGGTTCGTTGCAGAAATGTGTCTGAAAACATTAGTAACATTAGTAATAAAATTTAAATTTACCCCTGCTCTAAGGTTGAGTTGGAATTATAAATAGTCTTAAGTTTAAGTTTTTGGACTCTTACCCAGTTTTTGGGTTTGTTTGTGGGGGGGAGTGTGAAAACATGATATTTTGTTTTTATTCGATGACATTTTGTATGTATAAAAAGAGTGGGGAACTATATTTTTCCTAGTGTCATATTTTTCCATCAATGTATAGTGATGGAATAAACAGTGATTTTTGAGTCTGTGTTTGTTCAAACCATGGCTCTGCCACCTTATAAGTATGTACTACTAATAAGCATGGAGTGTGGTCTTGCTGACCTTCACTGTCCACATCTGTAAAATGGGTACAATAATAGCTCCTGTGAGGACCAAATGAGATACCAAATAAGGGGATGAGCACACAGTCTCAGCACAGAGGAGGCTCTGTATAATGACTTTCGGGAAACCACTTTCAGTATTTTGTCTCTCCCCAAAGTCTCTCATCTTTTGTCCTGCCTGAAAAAGTACAGTATTAGCCGTTCTCTCTACTTCCTCTCTCTTATTCTTCTCTTTCTTGCTCTTCTTCCACCACCTACCCTTTTCTCTTTTGTCCAGACCCAATCCCCAGGCGACTTATTTACATTAAGGAGCCATAAAGAATTCAAATGTGGGGCACACTTCTGTTTTCTTAAGCTGATGAGTTAGTGCATTTATGTCACTTTAAATAATGATTTACCATATGGAAGCCTTGTGTCTCTGCTGGCTTTTTTTTTTTTTTTAAATAAGTTCTCTGAGCCCTCATCTTTTGGGTAACTGGCATAGTACCTAGCCTACCTCCGGGCGTGAGGAAGGCACCTCCCTCTGTTTGCAAAACAGATCAGTATGATGTGACTTCTCTCTTTCTTCCCCCTCATCAGAGTGAACACTTTGCCACAGAGATGGGAAAGGAGCCCATAATATTTGAAAACCCAATGTATTCAGCCAAAGACTCTGCTGTCAAAGTGATTCAGCCAACAGAGGTGAGAAATCCATACAGTTCTTTCTTTCAGTTAGTGCTGTTGCTGCATCTTATTCAATTGAATAATGTCCTCTGAGGCCTCTCGAACCTTCCTTGCAAATGGATGGGTTCAGTGGTCTGTGCCTCAGCTTCACCATCTGCAGTAACAGGGCTGACCCAAGGATGTAAGACCTGAAAATAATCATAACCCTATTGCGTTGTACAGTTGTTGAGGTTTGGCAGCCATACTGGGGGCATTGATCAAGAGCCTTTCCATCCTGAGAGACCTGAGTCCATTCAGAGGCCTGGCGAACACAGTGCCAGGCACACCACAGACTCTCTCTAAATATTCGTGAAATGAATGAATGCATGAACGATTGTCAGGCCATAATGCAGACATTTGGGGGACTGGATTAATTCTCTGGGTTCTTATTGGTATCACAAGGGTGTGGCTTGAGGTGGCTTAGAGGGAGAGGGACCTCCCAATGTTTGCCTTTCCCATACTTTTCTGAAAAGCATAAATGCCTTTGAAGTTGATAGGCAGATGGCCAGATTTCCTTTGGTACGGCCTGCTACTCTGTCATCTTTCAGAGGAGCTGGGAGATGAGATAGGAGTCTGGAAGAAGGGAAAGAACTTTTCATTAGATCTGCATTAAGAGCCCCAATACCACTTCCAGTCCCTGTTGACTGCTAACCTGTCCCTCCTTTGTTGGAACAACTATGGCCTCAGTGACAAAGAATAAGTTTCATTGTTAACACCTCAACTTCTTTTGAATTCAGGATATGATGCATTTTAATATAAGATAGGTATGTTTACTTCACAAACAGCTTTCTTAATATCAGAAATATTTGAATCTTGAAGCCATTTAGCCTGATCCTTTGATAACCAGGTAGCAAAACTTAATCACACAATGAAACAGATATGACATTTTATTTGGCATTTTCACTTGAAATAAAATGAGGCCACATATACAAACACATATCCAAGTTTAAGAAGAAACAAAGTGGTATATGTAAAAATATACGCCAGTCACCAAAAAAAAAAAAAAAGTATATATATATTTTGTGGAAAAAATATGTATATGAAATGAGTGAATTGTCTCCCTATAATTTATTAATTGTATATTCATGGTAATTTAAGATTAAGGGGGAACCCTGGAATTATATGAATGTTATAGAAAAATGCGTAGAGGAGTATTAATTCCACTATGTCTATTGTTTCAAAAATTTAACCTGTTTTTAGCAGTCCTCAGAAATTAACTTTATTCTTAACATTCAATGACGGGATTCTCAGCTTACTAGTGAGTTTGGATAATTATTCATGCTGTCGTTCTAGGTTTTGGCTGCCAATATACAACCAGAGCATGTTTTATCCCAAAATGTAGTCAACAGTGGAGAATACCTATTAGAGAATTGCTATTAATAATTGAGAGTGTGACCAGTGAGGAATATGTGTGCCTCCTAGGATTAAGGCATGAAATGACTTAGTGGTTGGTGCTCTTGATTTTGACGACGTGGGAGTGGCATTTAGTCCTGGGCTAGCAGGTTGGCTCATATGATAAAAATGGTGCCTGACTGTATCTGTGGAGAACAAGGTGGTAAACAGAACCAGAGTTGACAACAAACTTTACAGCAAATGTATTTATTACTGAATTGTTTCAAAACTGAATAAGGGCCTTCAATATGTTCACAGGTGACAGTATCTGGAAATGTGGATAACAAGAATTATGGAAGTCCCATAAACCCTTCTGAGATAGCTCCAGAAACCAAACCAACTTCTCCGGGTGCTGATGGAACTCAGGTGACAGTGGCTGACTGCTGAAATGATGTGGGATTTGGAAAGAACTTTGGAATTGCTGGGTTGGCACTAATCCAAGGCAAACTAGGGAGACCTCAACAGGCTCACAGATCCCAAGATGTGTAGGCAGCTAATAAATATAGTTGTTTAAAAAAAATTCATAGATTAAAAACTTCTCACCAAGTGAAGCTACATTCTAACATTGAGTTGGGAATAATGTTTCTTGTGACACTGGAGACCATGTCACAAAAAAGGGCAAACAGAGTTCTGGATCCAGTATTTTCACTCTAGGGACATTTAATTTGAGAGATTGACTTCGTATGAATAAAGATTTCACTGTGTCAGGGTACATATAAAAGACCTTTCCCTGTGTGATGCAATTTTTCTATAGCATGTATCTTTGTTCCCTTAATAATATATGTTCTTAATTCTACTGCTGTTACCTTTGCTTACCACAGACATCACTCACTTATATCCTCTTCATATACCCACCTGTCTGTTCATTCATCACCCATCTAATTGTCCAGCCAGTCGTCCAACCAACATTATTGTCTCCAATGTGCCAGGCACCATGTTTAACACCAGAGATTTTTTTTAAAAAAGACAAAAAAAAGACCACTAGATGGAGCTTCTCGTCCATGCCTGCAGGTCCTTTGAAATTCATAGACTATTTGGACTGCAGAGAGAAATTCAATAAATACATTTGATATAAAACTCTGAATTAATGAATACTATATCACATTTTAATGGACCCATATGCAGATATCCTAGATCTAGCTGTTTGATTCTGGACAAATCATTTTACCTCTTTGTGCCTCAAAACCATCCTATACACTGTAGGGTATTTTGGTGTTCCCAGTCCTTGCCCACTAAATACCACTAGTATCTCCTCCAGCTCATTGTGATCCCAGAAATCAACGCCCCCTCCTCCAGTAGAGAACAATAGGATCTGGAATGTCTTAATTCTAAGGTTCCATGACTCCTTTTGTGAAGTAGTATAAAGAAACAAAAGCCTAAGGTAGTTAGAAATTTTAACATTTGATGCAATCTTTATTTCTCAAATAGTGTAATCTATAAATACAATTGGTATGTGCAAAGTTAACTTGGAAGTCTCATTGGATTTTTAGCCATGAAACACCTCAGACATTGATTCTTGTTCTGCTCTTTTGGGTCAAAATAAGAGTTGAGCTAAATTGATGCTAATGAGAAAAGCAAAGGTCTCTGTCCACCTTTTCATATTTCATTACTTACGTCTCCCCCTCCACACACACACACACACACACACACACACACACACACACACACATTCTCTCTCTCTCTCTTTTTAAGGGACTGAAATTTATGAACTTTTCTCTTTAAGCTAACTAAACATGGATTTTGGAAATTAATTTTCCACAGACACCTGAATGCTTGAATGTCATATATTTGGTCTTCCAAGTCTGAATCAGCCCCAAAGCAGTGCCAGATTAATTTTATACACTTGACATTTTTTTCTCAGTCCATTTCCAGTCTAGTGATCTTATTCACTAGGCAGGGATATCCCCCAACCTGAGCAGGAAGTGGAATGGGTGGGGAGAGGCTGAAACTTCTGACCTGGACATCCATCCTCAGAAACAGAATGAACACTGAAAGTCTCTTTCAGATGAGGGCAGATCTTCACCAGTCGTCATTCCTTTTTTTCTCATCTCCATCTTTGCAATGCATTAGTTCTTTCTCTTACTTTTTGAAATCAGTTGAGGCTGAGACTCTCTAAGATTTGTTATCCGTGGTATGTGCAGAAATCTTCTAGTATTTTTTGCCTTCTGGGCACTGAGATAACAGCCAGTGTGGCTTAAAAACAGTAGAGGTATTTGGTTAAGATTACCCTAGGTTGACATTAATGTGTCAAGGACTCTCACAAGTTTATTTTTCATCAGTAAATATGTTGGAAGGACTAAAAATTAAGAACATGAACTCCTGCGACTCAGTCCTATCATTTTCCAAAAGTTGCATTGACATGAAGGGGTCTCCCAAAGAGATAAAATGAGAGTCACCACACCATCTCTCTTGTTAGTTATTGTTTGATTCCAAGTAACCATCCCACACTAAAGCAATGACTTTTAAGAGTTTGGGCTTCCACCCTTGACTATAAGCTTGCAGAGGCAGGGCTCTGGCCTGAATGTCTTCATCTTCCCCTTAGTGGCACCAGGAACAAAGTAGGTATCACTTAAGTTTGGGTTAAAGTGAATGACCTCTTCTATTTCTGTGGTCATGTGCTCCCCATGGAGTAAGAGACACCCCATAAAACATGTGGGCTCGAATCTCAGCTGCCTGTTGGAGTAGGCTGTCTGTTCCCTTGTCTCCTGCCAGGTTTCTGTCTGGCAGCCAGAGCTGTGGCCAGCACTGCAGGCAACTTTTCAGTAAGACAGGGACACCCCCCATGGTCCAGGGTGATGCTCTTTAGTTCTTCAGTTTATGGGCCTCTGAGTCCCCTACGTAATCATTGCCTGCTCTTCTATCGCCAGTATTTACAGTTATTTAATCGTGCTGTGACTCAGCATATGTAAAATAGGGATACCTACTTCAAAAGGTTATTGAGAATATTAAATCAGAAACTTGTAAAACTCTTAAAATAATCCCTGACACATAGTAAGCCCTCAGTAAATGTTAGTTGTTTTTGTTGTTGCTGTTATCATGATTATAGGAGAAAACAATGAAGAGGGGAAGGGATACTCCTGAGTTGACCAAGGATCAAGATGTTGTTTTAGGAAATGAGAGTTACCACTTAGCCTTTTCCTGCAGTTTTCAGGCAGCACCAGAAACCTTCTTCTCCAGGAACTTCTTGTGTGTCTCAGTTTCTTTGTTCTCTCTGTACTAAAGTAGCCAGAATGATCCGCTTGTCAGAGCTTCTACACACTATGAGTACAGATTGTAAACTATAAATTCCAAATCAAGGAAGTATTTTGAAATTATTAGATGAAAAGAGCCCAGAGAGTTTCGGTCACTGTTCAGGTACCATAGGAAGAAATGAACAATTTACCTTGTGGGCCAGGTCACATGGTCCCAGGTCCCAAATTGCTTTGTCCTTCAGTGAGGTGAAATTTTAAAACTTAGGGAGAAAAGAAACCCACAAAAAAATCCTGTTACTCAAGATTTTTTTGTTTTATTCTTTTCATTTAGGTGATAAAATGGAATATCTTCAAACGAAAGCCAAAACAAACTACCAACTTTGAAAATCCAATCTATGCAGAGGTAATTTTTTTTTTTTTAAAGATGATCGGTAATGGGATCTTAACCCTTGACTTGGTGTTGTCAGCACCACGCTCACCCATTGAACTAACTGGCCAATCCCTATATGGGATCTGAACCCGTGGCCTTGGAGTTATCAGCACCACACTCTCCCGAGTGAGCCACGGGCCGGCCATCTGCAGAGGTAATCTTTAACAATTTTCTTAGCACAGACATTCTTTCTTAGAAATCACTTGCTTGGCTACATTGGACATGCACTCAGATTATTCTGAGCAAACTCGCAGAGATTAGTCTTCACACAAAACTCTTTCTAGTTATGTTGGGGGAATGCACAGCTGATTCCTGTCCCGTCGTGGTCTTAGATGCAGAACGAGCAAAAGGAAGATGTGGCTGTGGCCCCACCTCCATCACCTTCTCTCCCTGCCAACATTCCTTCGAAAAGAGACCCAACTCCAGGCTACACTGCAACAGAAGACACTTTTAAAGACACCGCACATCTTGTTAAAGAAGACTCTGAGGTATAGCTGTGCTGGCTATTGAGGGAATAATTAAAAACACACTTTTGCACATATGTTTTTTACAAGCAGATGAAAAAAGTTAACATTCAATACTTTATAAAAAATATATTTTTCCTTGTTTGCCTGTAGTTGGAAGTGTCTTGTGTGTCTTTTTTTTACTTATGCTGTCTCCTACTTGTGTTTTTACAAATAATTATCATGATGTGCTATATGTATGTATATCTTTGCACTGAAGCTGTCTGAAGGTAATGCTATAAATATATTGTACATTTGTAAATTTTGGAAAGATTATCACATCACTGAATTTTCTAATGATAGTATCTGCTGAATTGATTGGTGATTGGTATAGTGAATGATCCAGTGAGGAAAGGAGTTGACTTGGGGCCGTTAGCCATGTCTAAAGAAGAGGCACTGCTCATTTCCTATAAAATTATTCAGGAAAGGAATTCAGGCCCCACTCTTGGGTCCGTTTTTACACTTCAGCACTTAACTAATGTTTAATATTACATGTCAACTTGATTAATAGAAGCCAAAATGTGTTGTATAGACATCTGGATTTGAACCGTGGATGCCTCACAATAATACAGAATGTAGAAAAAGCAATTGAATTTTTGCCCTTCTGCATGTTTGTATTGTATAACCAGAAAACTCTGTTTCATATCTGTTCTCTCACTAGCTGCCAAGTCAACATTTTTATTTGTAATGTCTGTAAGGAAATCCCATGTCATTAAGTGCAAGTGTCCTACACTGAGTTTGTATTTAATTGAATGAGCTCTTTTGTTTGATGGACTCTAGAGCAGTTTATGCCCTTGCCTGGCATTTCAGGTGGTCACCTACCCTAGTGACTGGAGCTCAGTAGCTGAGTTACTAAAACCAAATCTGTGTCTTCATAAAGTAAGGTGCAAAACAAATACCAGTTAAGCAAAGCCTGAACTGGGTTTTTGTTTCTTTGTGTGAAAATATCATTATAATGACTATTTATTTCCTAAGTTGAACATGAATAGAAAGGGAAACCATTCTTATTGAGCCTTTTTTAGGTTATTTGGCTAAATCTGTACATTTTTATCAGAATGTACTGTACAGCCCAGCTCTTTTCTTGAATAATATAATCTGCACAACAGGAACCATGGCAGGAATATATAATTTCCATAGCAAGTAACATTCCTGGCTCTCTGTGCTAATATTGCACATTTGTTAATGAATGAATGGGTGTATGGATGGATAGATAGATAGGTGGATGAATGAAACATGTACTACTGATTATTTTATTCCTGAGTTCTCAAAATATTTGTTGCTCATATTTTGAGTGCTGATTGTAATTACTTTAAAATGTACTTTGATTAGAAAAGCAACTGGAAATGATGCTGCTGGAAAATTTCTAATAAATGTGTATTTTATCAGATGTCTCCTGTGTGCTTCTTAAACCCTAGACATGAATCAGAAAGCTTAGGGTTTTGAGTGCTCTCACAATCCTGCACCACTCCTCCCTGGAAGGGAATCCAGAGTGATTTGTTTGAAAATCAACAAGCCTCTACATTCATTTTGTTTGTGTCTGTGATATTTTGGAATAAGTTATAGGAAACAAAACAACGGGTCTCCAGAAACTGGTCGATCCCAGAGTCCTGCTTAGCCAACAGCATTGCCAGTTGAGTGCTTTCTACGGCTAACGCAGAGCAGAGAGGAAGGCACATACTCCTGTTCCTCTAATAACTAGTGTTCCCCTAATGATAGTCATTTGCCAGGAGGACAGTTTCCCAGCCAATTACTTCTAGCCCATCCCGCTGTCAATCTCTTTGAGCTTCAGCAGCCACATCTATAAAATAGGTAGGTTAGTTGTGAGAGTCCATTGTAAAAATGTTATGTAAAGAGTGTAGTCCAGTGCTTGGCATAAAGTAAGCCCTCAGTCAGTAGAAGCCATGACTAGTATCATCTAGGAAGAAGAGGGAAAAGGAAAGAGGCATCTGTGTGCTTTTAAACACTCCTCAGGTGATTTTAATGCACAGCCAGGGTTGAGAACTACTATACTAAAAAGAAATGACTTCTCTTCTTTATTTTTTAATGGAGGATGTTACAGAGGTGACCAAGATTTTATATGGACCTTTGAAAGGCTGCACATATCTTGTCTGTAATGAAGCTGAAGTGGACATGATAAAAAGTTTGTCTTTATTATTTTCATTTGAGGGTGATAGGAAGGACAATAAACACCCCTCTACATGAAAGATGGGAAACAGAGACGTGGCTGAAATATAGCTTTCCTTGATCCTTCCAAGGCCTCCTGTCATGTGAACATTTCTTGTTCCAATAAGCCAGTGGTAAAGCCTTCCACAAAATTCTGTATCTATTTTGTTGAATGAAAGAATATTACCATGTGAATTTATTCTTCTATCCCTTCCCATGTTTCCAGACCCAACTACAAGGGACTTTTCTTTAGTTATGTTCTTATTTGTTAGTTTCCCCAAGTCTGATTGTAGCAGTAATTTACTTGGGAGAAATTTTAGGGGCCAAGGGAAAAAGGGAACCTTGGAAATTCCTAAGCCTTCCCTGACAGTGAAGAGACTTTTTCTATAAGGACAGGTAGAATGTGGTCTGTTTCCAAGAATGCAATTGTATATTTATTGCTTCTAGGTTTTTGTTTGCTGAGTTTTTATTTTTTGTCACCTTCTAAGAATAAAGCATTTAAAAGGAATACTTCAGTTTTAGAAGATAGCAGCCTTGAGCTGTTTTTGGCACAGTTCTTTGCCACTATTTTCCCAAATCTTAAAGGGACCAGATCCATTTAGTGGAAGGTAATGGAGACTATTTGCAGCACAGAAAATAGTTATGCACATTATGGAGCTAGTACCTAGGCTTTGGAAGGGGAGTCCATTTATCTGTCTTTGGTCTTTGCCAAAGGCCTTGTTTAAAACAGTGAGAAGTGTGACCAGAGTCAGTATCATGGAGCAAGTGAGCTCTGACTAACTGGCCATGTCACCTTGAGTAAGTTCTTTCACCACCCTGCAGATTAGCAGCTTTATATGGAAAATGTAGAGGTTGGACAAGGTTATCTCTAAACTCTCCTCCAGCTTTCAAGTGTTACAGTTCAATGATTTATCTCTGCTCCAGTCTTTGTTTGGATTTTAGTTCCTCAAACAAATTTCAGCTGTTAAGTAAGTACTAAGCTTATCATAGCAACTTCAAGGAAGGCAGAGATTCAATTATAGAGTCTTAATTTTTATCCTCAAATACTGTCTCTCTCTAGGTGAGCTGTTAGGTGCATTTTAGAAAATGCTTTTCTGAAGTATCTGAAAGGCTGTTTGTAAATTTCAGGGCTGAAGGTTGCCACACAGGGTTCCTTCTTGCAGAGATCCCTGCAAACGTCCTTTTTAGATCTGAGGCTCCAGGGGACTTTCATAGGGCTCTGGGCCCCTACTGAGTGTCCTAGGCTTATGAAGAAGGGCTGGTCAGAGTGTGGCTGGCTGGAGGATTAGGCAACCACCTGTGAAGAGCCAATGGTATCCTGCTGACTTCTGATGGGATGTGCAGCCCATGAATGGGCTTTGGATTAAAGAATAAATAAACTTGGAAATAAAACAAATTAATCGTAATTTTCTATTCTTTGGAAATTAAACTTGAAAATTTTTTGGATTTTTCTTTTTTATTTATTTATTTATTTTTTTGTCCTTTTTGAGACCGGCCGCACAGAGTGTGCCACGGGCTCGGCCCTGGATTTTTAAATTGTGATGACAAAATACATCAACTTAAAATCTTAAACTTGAATTTTTAATCATCAATCTGGTATCTGGGGGCTTTTTTTGTTTTTGTTTTTCAAGATGGCCTTGGAAGGCTGCCTTACGATGGCTTTCAAAATCACTGAGGCATGGTATTTACTTCTAATATTCAGAGCCCATAAAAAGGTGTCAGGAAACACAGCCCAGCCCAGCTCAGCCCAGCAGGAAATGCCTTACTCAGCTATGATGCCCACATGAGTTACTTCTCAGAATGGAGTATAAAGCCATCAATGTTAATAACTTAAGCAAATGGCCACCAAGCCCTGGTTTAAGAGTTTTGGTATCTTAGAAAGTGAACCAGAGTTAGAACTCATAGGTGTGAGATGGAACCATGAATCTTTCCCTAACCACATGGCTGATCTTGGGCAGGCTGTTGAGCTTCCCTGGAAAAATGGAGATGGTAAACTCCACAGGGCTCTCATGAGAATATTTATTCATTCACTCAACAAATATTGGATGAGCATCTGTATCTGAAGTACCAGGGAATAGTATCAGATAGTAAAAGCTAACATTTACTGAGCACTTAATGTGAAGCATCTCATTTAATCCTGGAAGCCTTCTAAGGGAATACCATTCTACAGATCAGAAAACTGAGATAACACATGGGAAAATGTTTTTTAAATTATAAAGCACAATATAACATGCTTTAGCACAAGATCAAGATCTAGGAAAAATTTGCCTTTACTTCTGTTTCAATTCTAGTGGGTTCTGAGTGACCTGTATGGCCTAGCAACAATAATAGCAAATATTTATTGAATGTTTCCTATGTGCCAAGATTTCTTCTAAACACTTTACAAGTATTAACTCATTTAATTCTCCCAACGATCCTGTAAGGCACATTCTTATCATCATCCCCATTTTATAGGTGAGGAGACTGAGGTAAGAGAGGTTGAATAACTTGCACAAGGTCGTAAAGCTACCAAGTGTTACATCCAGGACCCTACCTCAGCCAGTCTGGCCCCTAGATTTGCATTCTGCACCATTATGGCACACTGTTCTGTTAAAAGAAAAACTTTGGACAAATTAAATTTAACAGTTTAATTGAGCAGCTCTCAGAAGCAGAAGAGGTTCAGAAAGCTCTACTTCACAATGAGGGCGGAGAGTATTTATGGGCAGAAAATGGAAGCGAGGTACAGAAACAGCTCAGCTGAGGTTTGCTTTATGTGGACCTGGGCTGATCAGCGGGCAGCCTGTGGGTTGGCTGAAGCTCGGCTGCCGTGATTGGCTGATACCCAACTATTCGTTATAAAATATACTCCTAAATTAGTTGTTTCAGTTTACATACTATGTTAGGTTGCAGTTCCTACATGGGGACTCAAGATGCAGAGGCAGCCTCTTGCCAAATTTAGTTTAACATAGATTAAATTCTAATGTAGGTTGGCAAGGAGATATCCTCCCCTAACCCACCGAGACCTAACTCCCTCTCCATCCTGACACTCCACTCTGCCCTGACTGCCCAACAGCTTCCTAGTCTTAAAACCTTTCCAATCAAAACTTACAACTCCTATCAAAACTTTCTGCCCAAAGGGAGCCTTCAGTGATTAGTATTCTACAAATGAGTTAGTTCTGGCCTCTGTTGTGTTACTATCTTGCCTTTGGTTAGCACTGATGTTATTTAGTAAGGGCCCTTGGAGGACAAGGCTTCACTCACATGAGGGACCTCCTTGTGGGTGACTCCTAGGGTGTTCCTTCCCCAGTTAGGTGCTGACTTCTCCCCCATGTGAAGAGCCAAGCCAGTCCTTTCCAAGCAAGTCATTAGCATTTAAGCAGATAGTGAACCAATGCCTTGATTTCTTCTGTGGAGAAACAAATTTGCTGGGACAGGCTAGATATTAGTGGTGTGCCTCCTGTTGTGTCTGACCACGGAAGGCACTCGTTCCTGGGAGACAAAGAAGGAGAAAAACGTGAAAGAGAGCTTTAGTGATTTGTCTGAGCTCTGCCTCAAAATGGATGGTGGAGTCAAACAGTTCGGACAGCTAAATCTATCCTAATTTTGTTTGTAATTTCCTGGTCAGTCTGTCTTTAAACAAGGGGGATGCATGCCCCTTTCAGGACTCCCGCAGGCCTTCTAAGCTCACCTCCATTCTAGTCCTGCTGTGAATTGTAATTGTTCTTTTTCTTATATCTCTCTCACCCTGACTGTCTCAGGGACAATGACTGGCTTTTGCTCCTAAATCCATAGCCACTAATATTGAATCTGACACTCAACAGGTGTTGAATAAACGTTAGCTAAGTAAATACATGGGAAAAAAGTTAAAGATAAGAAAGAAACCCTCCCATTGAATCCTGAGCCTCCAGTGACAGGTGAATGATCCCATGAGCATCTATTTATCTTGCTTACCTCACAGGATGGTTCAGTCATGAACACTTATCAAGTCAGAGAAGTTCATGCATCTGATATCATTCTGGTCACCGTAAGATACCATTTAAATTTATGTCTTTTTTCTTCTAAGTTCCCGGGACTTAGAAAGGCTTTTAGATGAGTAGAATGTCCAAGTTGTTGTTTAAAACACATCTGAGGAGTTAACTTCATAGTATTCCGGAAAGGTTACTGACAGGTGATGAACCATTACTAAAATATCACCAGATGCGGGTAGAGAGGCTCCACCCCACCTGTGTCCTTTAATCTCTAAAA